TTATAATGAATATTAAACATAACAAAAAGCTCTTATTTGGTTGTGTCAAAATGAAATTTTGTGTTTAAGAAGGGCATTTCTTTTCATGAAATGTTTTCATCCCTGAAACAATGATATATTTTAAATCTTTGAAGATTTCATGTTTAATTTTTTTTTCATTCAGGTATATTTCTGAAAATCTTAAGCAATGGAGCCAAAGCCAGTGCAGTATGGACAAGTCCAAAAAAGATCACTCTCTCATGAGCCTTTTAGATATGTATATCTCTATATATAATATCACAGAAGTTACACCTACGTTGACTTATTTATTGATAAAATCCTACCTTTATTTGTAAGACGTATTTACTTTAAATGTTGCTCTTAACCCAAATCATAATGACCTTTCATGTTTAAGAAAGGAATTCTCTTTATGAGTGAGTTTAGTTTTGCACCGCTTTTAGCAACATTTCAGCACTATCATGGCGGGGGACACCTGAAATGGACTTCACACATTGTACCCATGTGGGGAATCAAATCAAGGTCTTCAGCGTAATGAGCGAACGCCTTAACCACTGTACTACCCCACCACCCACTCTCTTTATGAAATATGTTCTACTGTTAATAAATGTAAGAAGATTTAATGATGAAACTTTCCTTATTTCAGGTTAACTTCAAAGAGAAATGGATTTAAAAGGACCAAGTCCAAAAGGGTAAACATTCATCTGCCGAGTACTGCATCATAATTAGTGCTCGAACAAATTTATCACCTGGAGAATTACAATCACTCCCCAATTGAGCCAAGACGATATTTTTACCAGACTTGTGCAGTTGTTTGGAAATGACCTTTGTGGTCAGGATTTGCTTTATCATAGATGTTTCTTAGTGAAGATGGAACTGTTCGACTTTGGACGCAGAAATGGTCTTTAGAAGACCATTATGTCTGACAGATTGTCGTGATGATGTCACAATGGCTAAGGTTCTCGCACATCCCACAGGATCAGTTCCTACATTACTTTTCAATGAAGATGGATCAAGGAGGAAGACATCCAATGCCGATTTGACAGACAAATTAGAAGAAATTGTACAGAATGTTGACACTTTACCAGACTTTGACAAAAAGACACTGTCCACATTCGCGATAAAATGGCAATATTGATAAGTATGAAGCCTGCCATTCCCTCCGCGTTGGATAGTGTTGCTGACAGTTATATGCAAAATATGAAGCAGTGTTTCACAAGGGCTGATACTGTCATAGATATGTTCGACCAGTATGACAATCGCAACTCCACTAAGTCTGCAGAACGTTCACGAAGGGCTGACCTCAACACCGGCAAGAAGTATCAAGTGTCATCAGGCAGACAGATTCCACAGTGGAACAAGTTTCTTGGTGTATCTGAGAACATGTCACAGTTAACAACGTTTTGTGTACCAAAGTCCAAGTTGCTACAATGTCAACAGAACAACAAGGAGGATTGTATCTCTCAGGAAGATATGAAGATGGAATGGTGACCAAGTTGATCCCTCCCACTGGCGATGCTTGCATTGATGCACTTGAATGTTCTCAAGAAGAAGTTGATACATGCATGCTCTTCAACGCCATGTACTGCAATGGTGAGTTTGAAGAGAGGCATTTGAAGGAAGTATCATCATCAAGTCCCCTGATACAGATGTTCTCATACTATATATCTGCTGTTGTCCACAAATGGAGCATGTCCGTGAAAACTGGAGTGTCTTCTGAAGTCACGGACAAGCACTGGTTCAATCATGTCCATAACATCTGCCATCTTCTTGGATCATCAATGTCATTTGCTTTGCCAGGAATCCATGCCTTTACTGGCTGAGAAACGTCATCAGCATTATTTTCATGTTGGCAAGAAGACAAAGACAAAGATGAAAGACAAAGATCTGTTTTCAAGTCATCAAGTCTTATCTTCAGGAAACCTTGATGCAGCAGTGCTGGTCTGCAGGCAATCTAACGTCAGCCTTGTATGACCCCAGGAAGAAGGTTAAACCATGTCACTCTTTGAATGACATGAGATTTCAACAGACATTGAGCTTGCCAAACTTCCCTCATGCGAAGACAGCTTTCGACAGCTTTCGAAAGCGTGTGATGCGGCAAACTAGCATCTGGACAAGTTCTCATTGTTGTAAACCAGAGGTTGGTAACCTTGAAGATTTTGCCTGGACTAGGGTGAATGGATTGCTCAACCCCACATTGTTTGAACATCAAACTGCTTCGGAAGTTCTTGACTGCCTTGTTTGCACCTGCTGCAAGTCCCCATGCTCCTCGGTGTGATGCATTTCTAGACAGAGCAATCTGTATTGAACTGTGTCCTTGCAAGCGTGGACAGAATTACACTAACACCATGAATGATCTTGGTGAAGATAACCAGTGACAATGAAGAATGGCTTGTGTAATAATCATATTCCTTTTCCAAGTTGTTAGTTATTACAATAACCTTTAACACAAGACATACTATTGCTTTACAAAAAGAACAGCAAGTGAATCTAGTTTGAAGGATTGTTGGTTCCTAACACATTACACTTATATTTCAGTATCTTTAACAATGTTCTATTTTAGAGATATTAATGTATCTTTACCTGTAATATGATGATAGTGATGAGTGATTAAAAGGTAATTTTGAAATTATACCAATAAGATTTATTATTCTTCTACTGTATCATACCTGACAAAAAGGAGGACCGAAAATTACATTTTTTACCCAAATTTTCAATCATGCAATGAAAATTTTATGTCTAAATATTGCAATCACTATTATTTTTCTATTGTACAGAGAGCAACCTTTCATTTGATGGTGAATTTGTTTGAATGGGGTCAATAGTTTGAAAAAATAATAAAGATATTTGGAAAATTATGATTTTTAGTGTTTTTGACCCAAAATCCGGTTTTACCAGAAAGTGTCCTCGCGAATATTTCCACATCATGTCTAATATTATTCTATAGGTCTTCAGCTTTAATTTGATATATAGATGTATACCTCTCAATTTGATCAAATCACTCCCCAAAAATGGGTTTGTTACTTCCCCAATAATAGTGCAACGAGTACGAGGAATGAAGAAAGTTCAGATAAAATTACGACATTTTTGTTCCCTTAATACAAAAGATCGCAATAATCAATCCTATACCGTGCATAGCTATGATACTTGTGGAATGTAATCCCTGCGTTAATCAATCTTCTGTAGCGCATTAAAATCGACCACACTTTCAAATAAAAAATGAAGTTTCCATCTCTTTGTTTGCTCGCATCAATTCAGGACAAAACAAAATTAAAATCGTGACATGCAGGGTTTATTTAGTCCGAATACTGTTTCCTCCCCCGTAAATGACGCAATGCATTTACAAGCGGACAAACGATGCCATGCGATTAAAGTTTGATGCTTCCAGATTGAACATCTACTTCAGAAACAGGCAAGAGTCTGAAACGCATCTGATATAAGGAGCTCACTGTTCAATTGTCCCTGGCGATAAGGCTTCAGATAAGAGAGCGTCAATTCTATGAGATATATCGGATATTATGAGATGCCTGTTCCGTAAGGCCTGAGGGGGTGGGTTTCGATTCCTCTTGTTGGGTCCTACATGCACCAACAGTCTGCCCAAAGGCGTACATTGCAAACAAGTGTGTTGAAATAAATCTTAAACACTCGAAGAATTGTTATTTTCAAAGTGGTTCTAAACAAGTAGTAGTGTATTTGATTTTAGTATACAAATGTTAAACTTCTTCTCCAAATCAATTCCAGAGATGATAATGAAACTGAGCAACATAAAGGGTATTTTCGCGATCAACTCTCACTTTTATGATGCTCAGACCACAGGATAGCATATTCTTTGACACAAGGGTAACACAAATTCAAAATAATACATGTATGAGTGAACAGTGATATTTGCAAATTTTGATTGCCCCCATTTAAGGCTTCTCATCAAATCTTTAACAACTTTATAATTGTTAATTACAATCGCAATTGAAAAGTTTAGGAAATTTAACACATTAAAACCATCGTTAGTTGTAGTGAATTACGTAAATCGTGATGTTTATCATTGAAATGATAGTACTGGGCATTCAAATATGAGGGGTTCATCCTCGGTATACTTGCTGTCAAACCCGTGAAGGTCCCGCTTAGCATTGGTCTTCGGTTACCTATGCTTGTCGTAAGAGTCGACTAACGGGATCGGGTGGTCAGGCTGGCTGACTTGGTTGAAACATGTCATCGTATCCCAGTTGCGTGGATCGATGCTGTTGATCTCTCGAGTGTCTGGTCCAGCTTCGATTATCAACAGACCGCTGCCATATAGCTGGAATATTGCTGAGGGCGGCGGGAAATAATAAACCAACGAACTTGCTTTCATGCATTTTACATAGATCGCTCAATCGTACAAAACCTTATTTTGTTGTTACATCGCAATAATACAGAATGTAGCGTAAGGAGACATATACATCATCTAACAGTTAATTTGTTTATAATGTTAGAACTGTGGAATATCGATGTTATTCATCTTCCCAAAATGTTATGCATTTTACAATCCAGTGATCTTTGTTCAACAAAGATTGATGTTGTTTTCCACTGGCTACTTGTTTAACCAGAAACCCCACACCATATGAATATAATGATTTAAACCAGGTATTTCTTTCTGCAGTTAACATTGTTTTGGATAATGATCCTGAGATACGGTCAATAATTTACATCAATAAGTTACACATTTCAAAGTTGTTCCTATATGTGTTATGTGGATAGTGGTGAAATCTGGTGTGGAAATATTGTGTTGATTTACATGCTCATGACTGGAGACGGTGGACACTATCCCTTCCATGTACGCTCGTAGCTTCATTGAAATAAACCATATCACTTAACTGGGTACTTCCTGGTCAAAAGAAAAGGTATTGGGAGTATTGAAGCAAGTTCTTTTTGTATCCAAAAAAGCCTAGCCAAGAAGCTTCAGAAAGTTTTCAGAAGAATAACCATTATCGTTAAATGTATGTATATTGCAGTGATGAGAGGCTCTTATTGATGTGGCTCGGGCAGACAGTTACCATCTCCAGGACGCAAAAGAGCATAGACAGTCAGAAGCAGTCAATGTTTCAGGTCATGGTGACCAGTGAGCCCATTATATAGAAGATATATGTCAGGCTACTCTCAAGTAGATGTGACGTCTTCCTGCGTTTCTTGCCATATAAAAACGCACGTCTTGTGGATGCATTTTGTCACATTGCCATATATATAATGACGTATCAGTAAAGGATTGAATATAAACTGCATATGACAAATATTGATCTTATTTTGAATTGGTGATTCTGTATATGAGATTCGGAAACATTCATCTCTGACAAAAATACGGTCGATATTGACTTGAAAGTGTGCAGTCGCTACATCATTTGTATAGATAATGAGGCTTTATTCAAAGAGTACGATACATGCTAACGTTTAGTAATGCTCTGATGGTTTCTTTGAAAATATAAACTTTAGAAAATCATTGAGGGAGTGTGTTTAGATTTAAGCCGCACTCAGCAATATCCCAGCTCTATTGCGGCGTTCTGTAAATAATAGCGTCTGGACCAGACAATCCACTGATCAACAGCATGAGCATCCATCTACGCAATTGGGATACGGTGACATGTGTCAACCAAGTCAGCGAATCTGACCACCGGATCCCGTTAGTCCCTTTTTCACAGCAAACATGGGTTACTGAAGACCAGTTCTAACCTTGATCTTCACGGGTCTTTAGGAAATCAAATATCGAAGCTCAGGATTTCTCGAAATACTTTGTTGTGTTAATGGCTTTATCGTTGAATCAATGAGTAAAGTGTTGTATAAATGCATACTATGCCAAGATATACCACACTACCAGCTAATACAGACAGTAAAGACCTGTGGTGAGTTCATCAAGTCAATGAGGTGAGGTGAGGTGAAATTGGGTTTAACGTCGCGCTGGAGAATATTTCGCTCATATGACGACGTGCATGAGTGTGTATGTGTAGGTGCAGCTGCTTGTACTAGCCCAGACTGAGGCTGGTTTTATAGTGCTAGCCCACTGAGATACCAAGCCGCAGTGAAGCATGAATACCCCACTCAGACACATTATACTGACTCCGAGCCGACCAGTCCTTGTTGTACCCATTAATGCCCTCAAGTCGCTCATACTACATGATAATGGTGATTCCAAAAGTAAACACCCCTCTTGGCGTGTTGTAGCTGAAGTTCTCCTTATATCAAAAAAACAACACATGACTATCTGTACAATGTATTAGTAAGAACCATCACAGTGATATAGCTCGATTTTTTTTATATATCAATAAATTAATATGAATAGGTATTACTCCTTAATGGAAATAAGGTGTCGCAAGAATTCATACATGTAAATAGCCCTTGCACAAAACTGATGTATGTGTTCAGCATTCACAAACACAGTATAAACCATATTAACATGTGTAATACATTTGTCACTAGAATGCCATTGCTTTTATGCACATCAATCCAGTTACCTTCAACTTGATTATGTACACGTTACAATCCTAAGATATTAATAGATGGATGATTTATGCAAACGTCCTGCATATAGCTCCTTATGGCACAGAACCGTACGTTACACTTGGAATAACGTAGAATTAACAAAAACTGAATTAACATGAACATTTTTTTAACAAAACTATTTTCAGGACTACTGATCTCATATAAGGATTCATATATATTCTTCCCTTGGAAGCAATCGATACTGCTTTCAGCAGGTATTGGTTATAATTATGGAAAGAAGTTGTTATTCATAAAGTTCAATATTGGAACATATAACACTACAGCAAGTGGGAGCTTATTATCAAATACCTGCCATGACAGTTCCGGTTCATTATTTGCGATTGTGTACAATATGTCAGGTAGAAGTGTTACGAGTTTGTAATTCTTATTATAAATGACATATACTAAACGAGCGGTTATTAATTAGATATATGAAGTCATCAGTGGCGTCAGAACATAGATGTCTCGCTGGGTAACTGTGTTCGATGCTTGCAAGTGTAGTGCATAATGTGGTTTGTAGAAACAGCCGCCAGTGTCCATAACACAATTGGGCGACGACATTAATATTAATACATACAAACTGAATTAACATGAACATTTTTTAACAAAATTGTTTTCAGTACCACTGATCACATATATATACTGATCACGTGTAAAGGCACGTCTGAAATGATGTTATATGGAATGGAATGTAAGATATTAAATTTCCTACAATATACGTCCGTTGAATATACAGATATTATAACTCAAGTCGTATGTAGAAAGACGTGCATGTGATATATGTTGGCATAACTGAAAATTATTAGTGTTACGTTTGAAATTAGACTACGTATAACATCACAATGGCAAACTTATTATTTGCTGTCCTTGTAAGTTAATCTGTAGAGGTGTATACAGATTCTCATTTGTATATATATTGTATATCAACCATTCACTATTTTGTCAAACAAGGGCCCAGAAGTAGCCCTGGGGCGTTGCAGTTGGCATTGGAACATTTTATACATATGTACAAAAATCGACATCTTCAAGTCATTCTTTAGGTCCATCGTGTACTTATAGATTAGATAGATAAAGTCATCAGTGGCGTCAAAACATACATGTCTCGCTGGGTAACTGTACGCGATGACTGTAAGTATGGCTCAAGATGCAGTTTGTAGACACAGTCGCCATTATCCAACACGATTCGACGACGACTTTATCAATGCCTCGTAAGTTCGCAAAGCTAGCGGACAAGAAACAAAGTATTCTCCACACAGAAAGTATATTGGTAGTTTCATGGGAGTTCAGGGTTGAACTAAGAATATTTTTGATAGTTGAGGGTAGGCTTCAGGTACAATCACCAGCCAGAAATGTGAGATGTTGGGTTAAGCATATAATTATCATATGAATACAAATAGTCCCGACGCTGAAACAGCAATAATACTTCACGTAAGTTATCATGTTTCATTTCCATTTCCAGGTTCAATACATATCTGGCATCCAACGTGTCTAGTCACCTAAACTCAATACAAGTGGTGGCGATGGACATGAATGTTCTCTTATTCAACAGTATAATGGAAAACAGATGGAGTTCAGATCCAGACAATAATGAATTTCCACTTTCTTGCCACCATATTTACATTTGATACTCAAACAGCTTAACCTTTGTTACTCCCAAACCTTAATCAAATTCTTCTATTTGTACAAGAAATTGCGTAAGATGTAAATAAGATACCAGAATCCTTCTTCAAATATGCTTGTGATCAATCTTCAGAAAGCTCGAAGCATGTGTATCTAGCATCTCCATTGTATTTACCATATTCGTCTCTTATTCACGAAGATCCCATCCCCCTACAGTTATTTTAACGTACACAATCTTTATTTACGGGTTATTTCTGAATGGTTGTAAAGTATGAGAGTGAATCTGTGAATTTTAATCTGTGAATGTGCTTATGAATCACTAGAATTAGCAATAATACGATGTGTTCGTGAAAAGGTGAAAGTATCGTGCTGAACCAGTGGTACTCTTGCTTCACGTGGAAGGGAAAGTTCCAGGCTAGTGTTGTACGGACTACTCTCTCGTACTGACAAATACGATATAATCTCTCCGGTTAGACATTCTCTGATAAAACAGAACGCTGAACATTACTACGATCTCAATGATGACGCCTTTGGTCCCTTTAGGATCCACGTAACTTTCGAACATCTGAGGTTCATCGAGTGATAATAGATTCGGCGTTATTTCTCCCTTGCGTCTGTACATTATTACCTCAAATGAAACACAGAGCACAACCAGACCCGGAAAATCAGCACCGTCGACAATCAGGTCTGCAGCAACATTTGAGCACACTTAGACCTTTCGAGTAGTTTGTGCCCGTCACTATGGACACACGTTATGTGTTGAATCTGATTCCATATTCTCATCATGTAGGAGTGACTTGGGCAGACATTGTCAGTTTTAGTATTGATTGCAGCACTTACCACAACGCTATATCAAGATCAGTTTCACCAATTTCGGAAGCTACTGGCATGTTTGTTCCAATGATAGGCTGACCAAGCCTAAATAGTGTGTTGTATGAATAGTCATATACTCACTGTCAAGGGGTCTAATGGAGAGAAACGAGAGCTTTAGGACGTGGTTGCCATGATGAAGTAAAAATACACCTCACTGTCTCCTTTGGGTTCGATCAAACATGCTAAATCAACGCGACTATTTAAATGGACATTTTATCAAACTGTTATCTGATAAATTTGACTGTTTCGTTCTTCAAAGACCCATTATGGAATTGGTTGTACAACCCAAGAGGTCGGAGACTGATCTGGCAGGCTATTGTTCTGCTTCGATGGTCTGAATAAAGACGGGGTGGCTGATACGGGAAAACATAAAAATGCTTTTGGTAGATTGTGATGGGAAAGGTCATGGTGTGGCATACAAATACAAATCATTGTTGGCAGGTGTAGTCTGTTCGTCTAGTATTTTGTGAAAGGCCCGTTCGTTCTATAAGCGTTCACTTATAGGTTACAATGTTTCATCAGATTGTTTGGATGTATAACGGTCATGTTCAAACATGCAATATAGAATCAAGATACAGTAGCCCCACATTCAACTCAAACAGCTACTAGTATACCTAAGTATTTCACGTTGATATCTGTATTTTTCCTATCTATGGAGACAGCTGAGGAAACGCTCGGACCAATGATGTCAGCAATTAGCCGTACTCACGGAGGTTGTTGAGTTTGACTGGTGCTGGGTCCGCGACTTTGTCTTGAAAAAGAATGTCAAGAACTCGCAGCTATTTAGAAGACGTAAGTGAATATCACTCTGACCACTAAAACGATTCAATAGCGTCTAGGGACCCACGAGGCAGACGCCTCTTCTTAAGACCACGTTTTCTAGACGCACAACGTCGTTAACGCCGGATTAATACCCCAACTAAGGATCAATCAGACGGTTTGCTCGTGGCTGTTCCAGTGACCGACTGACATCAGGAAACCATTTGTGATACTCGTAATTATTTCCCATGCCGTATTTGGTGATGGGTACCTTCTTCAGACAATCTGTGATAATTGTGATGAAAAGTCAGTTACTGTTGAATTTATAACAATTAACAAGTGAATTATTTGAACAAAATGCATGCTTCACTGGGTTACTATTTATAACAATACAGCTAATGAAATGGAACTATTCCTGTACGTTCTTCTGTACCTAATGCTCGCATTGCAAAATATAGGACTGGAGTTTGTGATACTTGATGTGAACATTTTCACACTTTGTGCTAAGGTGTCTAGCGAAGGTTGAAAATTTAGGAATTGAACACACGTATCACTAAAGCAAATAATGAATAAACTAAATACCGAAATTGGAAAATAGATGCTGTTGACATTAGAAAGAAACCGTATTAATGGATGCACGTGTCACTATAGTTAGATGGAACCAATCCACCATGATAAACATTTTTGAGGGGAGTAGAAAACACCCTTATCTTCTACCTTACTGATGTTTTCATGTAGTTTTTCATGTATGAAAAAATCAACACCTCACAAAGGTTTTTGTTTCGTATACGTTTGTACACCTTACACAAGATCAACACAAACGTGCTTCAACTCATCGCCCATGCACTTTCATGCTGTAGTTGCCAATCTTCGTTTTTTCAGACTGACACATCGATTTCATTGGTGAAAAAACAGGAACAGAAATGTCAAACCATCTTTACATCGGCAAGGAATCAAAATCAAATCATCAGCTGTCATCGTCATAACTTCTTCACAGTTCGCAGTTTGTTTAGGTGATGTTATTTAAGTTACCATGAAAACAATCATGTTGCATATATCGAATTCACATTCAAGAGGTTTATCTGAGACACCCAGCCCAGGTAAACATTTTGATATTCAATACTGATATACATAATTGTAGAATACATACATGCATGCATACATACATACATACATACATACATACATACATACATACATACATACATACATACATACATACATACATACATACATACATACATACATACATACATACATACATACATACATACATACATACATACATACATACATACATACATACATACATACATACATACATGGTATAAGCCTCAAAGAATGGAAGTAACAAATTATTCAACTTTTCCACTATCGTCCACACATATTTCACGTGTGGCCGATCTTCACTGGCTCAGTTATATATAGAGTTTAATGTAAAAGGTAAATCTAACCAGTTTCAGTGGCAGAGAGACTAGTGATGTCATTTAGTTGTGATGTCATGATATCCGATGAAGTCATATTCGTTGACATATTCACGTGATGTAGTTTCTTTGCAGCAATATCCCAAAGGAAATATCGATTTATCTTATTAATGAAATATCTTCTGTGACAGAGGCGTTTGGGTTGCATATGTAGTTAAATATTTACAACGTTCACTCTGACGACAGGTCACCTTTATATTTCATTAAGAGTAACGTTATTGCACCTAATGATTGAAACATGAAGTTTCATCCTAAATGTGAAGCTTTCTGGCTCTCATGGTGATATTCTTTTCATGTTCTAAAGCTCATTTTGGTACACATGTGATACATTTGAGATTCAACGAATTATAAAATAGAATATTCTTATGGCTTTCAATACAGTAATAAGCCAAAACTATTTGTTCACGATTCACCAACTATTTAGCTGCAACGTTCATTGACTCTAATTCACACTTCACTCCTATTGTAGTGATTGTGATACACGGCCTTTTCACTTGCCGCAGTGAATACGGATTATATTACAGTGACAATCAATGCAGATAAGGAACACCATCCTGATTCTTTAGCACTTTGAGAAGATCCATCGTGTGGCTCTGTAAAACTTCCCCTACCATTACTGACATTTACTGCACAAAAATGTACAATAACCCAAACATATGTCATCTACAATGACATTGCTAACCCCCCACACGAATATATATTCAGAGTGATTGAGTTTAGTTTTACGCCGCACTCAGCAATATTCCAGCTTTATGGCGGTGGTCTGTAAATAATCGAGTCTGGACCAGACAAGCCAGTGATCAACAGCATGAGCATCGATCTGCTAAATTGGGAACTGATGACATGTGTCAACGAAGTGAGCGAGCGTGACCACCCGATCCCGTTAGTCGCCTTTTATGACAAACATGGCTTACTGAAGATAAATATTTTAACCCGGAACTTCACAGGTTAGATATATTCAGACGGTGACTAAATGTGCACTGCAAATATCCAGTTTCAGTTTGGTTGAACAAACTATTTGTCTCAATGGCCTCTGCCGAAAGAACATATTGGGTTTCATCTGCTGGAACTGTATATACAACAAAGTGGGGCTCTGTTTCAATATACTGCAGCTATTCCTCGCATAGTATGACTGTTATTGATTAAATTGTTGAACTCGTGGTGCCTCTTTTATAATTCTATTTTGAGAAGCCATTTTTCAGATGGACAAAAAGCGCATTAACAACAATAAGACATCTTTTCGCAGAGTAAGTTCAACCACTATAGCATGTATGGGCCATCATACGTTCCGAGTCCAGAGTAATGTCTTTATCATAATGGTTGTGAAGGGACAATAAATCTGGCTTATTTCTACAGAGTTTTTTTGTGCCTTTATAGCATATCAAAATCGAAGCAATCTTGGATAGTACCACAATGTCAGTCACAGTATCGTCTCAGAGGCTAAAGGAGCGGAGTGTCACCTTTCACCTCCCAGTATATATTCTATTAATCTACTATCTTTTGGTTATGGTAAAACAGGGTCACTTGTAGAAAAAGACATATCAGTCTCAGCAATATAGCATTAAATGGATTACTGGACCATGTTTCTCTGTTTTGTTTTCTTCATAACTAAAGACATACGTCTTACTGAATAAAAATTCTTTTTTGAAAGTGTTTAGGGTAGACAACCTTGTCTCAGCAAGTTAATTGTTGCATTTTCGCGGACGATGAAATTTCTTTATGGAGCTCACAAGATGTTTTTACATGAGTCCATTTTAGGTCGTGTAATACGTGTATTTTTCTAATACGTCATCTGTACTCTACCAATGGCACATTTTAAAATCTATATTGTATTGTCATTAACAAAACGATATTTGAAATAAATGCAACCCTTTAATATAAAGCGCCCACATTTGTCTGGAGACGTAAAGATCAGTTTTTCTTGATAACTTGAAAACAACACTTTATTTCCTTTGCTTAAGGAACGTGTGTAGACTTGGCGTCTCAGGAGCAGCTCACTTGCTCGCTCATTAAAGAAATAACTTGATGTTTAGAACTAGTTTTGACGCAATGACACGTAAACCTTATCAGTATCCGGTTTACGTTAAATCATCAAGGCCATTACACAAATCATTCAAAGTGCCTTGCATTTGATTATGTACAAATTACACACTTAAGATGTAAAGTGATTGATGATTTATTTAACTTTCCTGCATAACTTTTTTTACGAGAGGACACAGAACGTTACATCACATACACAAAAACAACGTTGAGAGGCAGCTGAGATGTAGAATTCAATTGGATTGATATTAATACCTCCTTCATCTGAAATATATTTTCAAGACCACTGATTACTACTGTAAATCATCATGTAGGCTTAAAAGTGGCATTGATTTGGATTCGGCGAAGGAAAGCAATCCTAAATCAAGAGAGAATACTGGATGTGTAAATACACCACTGACAGGGTGATGTGAGAAAAAAAGGGGGATAAGTAGGGCCTCTTTTTCTGTCTCCTCATGAAATGTTCATGTTGAAAGTTTTTACATTGACAGCTGACAATTTTAGTATCTTTTAATGATAAAGGTTTCCGATTTTTCAAACCAAGTTGAATCAGATACGGTTCTGATCGCATGTCTTCGGCTGAATACATCGTTGAACCTCACACGTTTATTGTAGATTGTCATATTGATAATGAAGGACGGATCATATTTCCTAAAGAACTCAAACGAAGAGTTTGTAATGTCTACTTTGTTAGTCTGGCGTGAAATATATATATTACAGTCAGGATGTCCAAAAACAGAAATAAATTGTTCCTTGTCCTAGAAGTCTTAAACACTTATACTGTATTTATCAAAGTAAATGCCTGACCAAGAGTTATTGATATGAAACTCTAAACTTTACACAAATAATGGAAAAGTCTGTTGTGGATTGTACATGACAGGTATTATTCTTGTGGTATATCTACAAATTAAAATAAAAGGGATATGTTGCCTTTAAACACTGGACACACTTGAGACTGAGAACACATCAAGTGCTTGCAAAACTATCCCGCGATGATCCGGGTAAGAAGTGATGTTCAGCAAACCGTGCTTGTCGTAAGAAGTGACCAACGGGATCGGGCGGTAGTACTGAATTGGTTGGCACATGTCATCGTATCACAATTGCCTCAGATGCTCATGCTAGTGACCACTGGGTTGTGTGGTCTAGGCTAGAATATTTACACACTAGCGATACGATGCTGGAATATGGTTGTGTGCGGTGTTGAACCACAAACAAATAAAACAAAACAAAATGGGCTTAACAGAAAAGAACGCTCTTAATGGACAGGTGAGAGAGAGATGACGTTATGTGTGCCAAGTACAGTCTGACAGACTAATGACAACTTCATATTGCAAGTTCCGTGGCAATGTCTTGGGCTCCGAAGATGTAAGAATCTCGATTCTAACCCTGCGTGGACCAGCCACTCGAGACACTTGGGGCAGACGCTGTCAATGTCAGAATTGATTGCTGCACTTACCAAATCTTTATATCAGGATCAGTTCCACCAATTTGGGAAGTAACTGGCGTGTTTGTCCCAGTGATAGGTTGACCCAGCCTAAACCGTTTGCCTGTATGAATAGTCATATATTTCTTAACAAGGTTTGCTAACGATGGAGGGAACGTAGGAGACAGGGCTTGACTGCCATCCATCAGTAATAGGTTATACTAATGGTTATTTAAGAAACAATAAATGCCTTTATGCATTAATGTTACGGTGAATGGTCAGTGGGTTTTTTAACTCGTAAGCATTGTTTGACAATAGAGCAGAATAATATTGCAACATATACCAGGTCACTGAGGCTAGGATTGTCATATGATATATTTCTCACAATTCAAACAATACACAGGAAAACCCGTTCCATAATCACAAGAAACATCTGCAATATTCTGTTTCAAAAGTATGTCGTGATTCTGGATTTTGATTCATATAATTATCAAACACAAACGATTAACCGCGGAAACGAATCACTAAAACTCAGTGAGGACACCGGCAACTCACATAATTAACAATAAAAATACGTCTTGCTGGCTAACTGTGCTACACAAACAATCAAGTGCCGACTTGACGCTCTTGTAATAATGGACGTCATTGCTTCAATGAAAGGGCTGTCCTAGGACCTTGCCACAGAATTACCGAAATCTAGTACACTCTGGTGTGCAATACTTAAAAGTACAAAAACTCCCAGAGGCACTAAATCCAGA